ATACTCATCATTACAGCTATAAACCACCTCAGCTCCATATGCGAATATATCCCCAAACCTTCTCCATTAGTGGGTGTACCTGGATCACTACAGTTGACTATAATACAAGAAGGCATCATATTACTCCATGTACCATTAGATAGGCAGGTAATTGAGCTTTCTCCTGTTAGATTGTACCCAGTGTTACAAGTGTATGATAAAACTGAATTGTAGTTAAAAGTGTCACCAGTTCTTTGTCCATTAGAGGGATTACCAGGATCAATACAATCAGGATAGCAATAAGGAGCTGAACCATTCCATAAACCGGTAGATAAGCATGACAGAGTGTCAGCTCCTGATATAGAGTATTCACTAATACACTGATAAGACACTACTGAGCTATAAGTATATACACTACTGCTCTTGCTGCCATTAATAGGTGTACCAGGATCACCACAATTAACTGGAGGACAGGAAGGTACTGATGCACTCCATGAACCATCAGCTAAACAAGTGAGTGAGGTGGCTCCTGTTAAATTATACCCAACAGAACAATTGTAAGTTACTACTGAATTGTACGTAAAAGTTCCTCCTTGAAGCATCCCATTAGTAGGTTCACCTGGATCACTACAATTAACAATATCACATGAAGGAACTGATGCATCCCATAAACCATTGGATAGACAAGTGAGAGAGGTGGCTCCTGTTATAGTATATCCAGTATCACATAAGTACAATACTGTAGAATTGAAAGTAAAAACTGTTCCATTTCTAGTTCCATTGGTAGGAGTACCAGGATCACCACAATTAACTGGATTACAGGTAGGTGCTGTATCATTCCATGAACCATTGAGGAGACAAATGAGAGAGACTGGTCCAGATAAAAAGTAACCAGAACTACACTGGAAAAAGACAACTGAGTTATAAGTATACACACTGCTGCTCTTGTTCCCATTGGTGGGTATACCAGGATCACCACAATTAACTGGAGGACAGGAAGGTACTGGTGCACTCCACAGGCCAGTAGCTAAGCAAGTAATAGAGGCAGCTCCTGTTAAATTGTATCCAGTATTGCAACTGTAAGAAACTGTTGAATTGTAATAGATATCCATTCCATTTCTAGTTCCATTGGTGGGTGTACCAGGATCAGTACAATTAATTATCACACAGTTTGGTAGTGTATTGTTCCAATTACCATTAGCTGTACATTCAATAGATGAGTCACCTGATAGTTGATATCCTTCATTACAATGATACTGTACTGTAGACTGATAAGTGAATACATTATCATTAGTATATCCATTAGCTGGTTCACCAGGATTACTACAGTAACAGGATGGAGTTGGTAAAGACCATGATGCATTCAGTAGACATGATATAGTATCATTTCCATTAATATTAAATCCAGTACTACAATTGTATTGAACTCTAGCTCCATACTGTGTATCACCATCCAATTGAGAGTGTGAAGCATTAAGAACTGATGGTGGAGTACCACAGTCAACTACAACTGTTCGGATTAATTAATTAAAAGAAGCAACAAGAATATATACTTACCAACATCAGCTTCAGCATGTAATACATTCCTTTCAATAAAGTTTCCTGAATTACAAGTTAGTGTAGTGGTTGCAGCTGGGCTTTCTGAAACACAAGCACCTATAAAGAACCAGCTATATCTTCTTCTCCCAATGATAGGTAGTGCATTAGCATTGGTATATAGGTATGCCCCAATGAGGCTTCCTTTGCGTATACCAACTGCTGGACTAAATGGAGTTGTATCTAATGTAGCTCTTTTTTTACGTCGATCTATAATAAAAGAACATGTTTGACACAATTAGACTATTGATTAAACTTAATAAAAACATGCTAAAATTATAAAACTTGACTAAGGTCTATTTTGTTTGATTTGCTTACTATTGCTGTGGGTATAAGTATAGTGTTGTATTGTAGCAGAGTCCTATTGAACAAGTGGAAATGCATAATTTAAACATGTAATTGTTTAATTTACCTTTTCATAGGTATTTGAACCAACTTTCTTCCATATAGCCAAAGTGACATTATAAGTTGAGCCACTGTTTAAGCCACTAGTAGGAAAAGAGATGTTATAATCGTCAAATGATCCAGAGCAAGTTGCTGGGCTAAGAGTACTGAGGAACCACTTTCCTCCAGGATTCGATTCAACATTATAAAGGAAGGACTCATCTCCAACCTTACAAGACAAAACACCTAAAAACAGACCACAATCACTGCATCAATCTCTATAGGCACCCACTTGTAAATGTAAGAAAAAGTAGCAACATTCTGAGCATCTTTGCAGAAAAAAGGGTGTAACTGTCCTTGGACTAACCAAATTCATGGATGCATCAGATATACATTTGTGCCTTGATCATATCATAATTCATTAGCCAACCACAAAATAAAAATCTATTTGAGCACACTCAGTTGAATTGTAATTGTAAAAAAGTATACATAATGAAAAAATAATGAGTCATAGATCTAGTCTACATTACAAAAATAAAAACAAGCAGCTTTGAAAATAACTAAATGTCATAGGAGTAATGCATTACATGAATATTCAAATAGATATTACTTATAAAGCAGTGTCCATTGTATCAGAGTAGCAGCGTTGTATTTCTGGATACATATTCTCTCCAGCTTTGAGAGTACCTCCAAGAGACCCAGCCTGAGGATGAGAGGATAAAGCAGACTCTGGTATTGTCAGTATATTCTTGTTTGGTTGAAGGAGTGATACCATGATCTTATGAAAGTTTGGACGCTCACTAGCTACTGGATGCCTAGTATTAAACACAATATACAATTACACTAGTATCCAGTGATGCATACCAGCAAGATATCATAAGACTGTATATTGCTTCAGGACAACCAGGAGGAGGAGGCAACCTCTCATTAGAGCAGATCTTTTCCAGTGCCTATTAACAACAATATATGATAGGTGTAGTATTCATTACTTACAGATATGTTACTGTCACTCTCATAAGGTTTGCGTCCAATGCTCCATATCTCATACATTAGACATCCATAGCTCCATACATCACTGGCTGTAGAATATTTCCTATAATTAAGAGCTTCAGGTGCTGTCCACTTCACTGGAATTATAGCTCCTTTGTGAGACACGTAATAGTTCTCATCCTCAAGATCACGTGATAAACCAAAGTCTATAATCTATCAAGATATTAACACTGATAGCAAAATATTCTATTGGTCTATCTGCATTTTAAAATGTGATAAAAATTGAGGGTGATTTTAGTGTCAATTTTGAAAAAACCATGGACCACAGCCTTGGGCATTTTTAAGAAATTGGCATATTTTTAAAATTGGCCATAGCTCAAATAATTGAAGTCTGAATTGGTCAAACTTTCTACATAGCATAAAAACATTTATATGCATCAGAAAATGTAATAACATTGATTAATTGATAATCTTTACCTTGCAAATATTATCAGCAGATACAAGAATGTTTCTTGCTGCTAAGTCACGATGAACAAATCCTTTGCTGGACAAGTAAGTCATTCCTAGACACACTTGCTGACAGAAACTTAAAAGAAGTGCAGGAGTATCATGATGAACCAGTTCACCAGGACTAAAGTGATATATTGATTAAAGTATTTTATAAATCTATTGATTACTTTGTTATCATTTTTTGCAGTAAGTGATCAAGATCACCTTTAGACATATACTCAATCACAATCATGGGCTGCACAAAATGAGTATAAAAACAAAAAGCTGATCAGCTATACTTACATGTTCATCATCACTGACTACTCCATGTAGTTTAATGACATTATCATGAGTGAATTGACTCAAGATAGCAGCTTCCTGTAAGAACTTGATCTTCTCTTGTTCACTTGCTCCATCTTGTAACATCTTAACTGCTACATCAATGGTATCTCTATTAGGTTTCTTCCACTGTCCCTTACACACATTACCAAACTGACCAGATCCTAGTGAGCTGGTTAATCTTGGATTCAAAATCAAGTCAATTTAAAAGCATTATAAATTAGTTATGATACCTCAAGCTTTCAAATTGAATCAGTACAGATTTTGACTTTCTTATTTGAGCAATTATTTTAATCCTATTATTTGCAGGCTCATAAAAAGGTATTCTAACATCCTAAAGAGAATTAAAAAATATTATTTAAATTTAGAGTCATTTCTTACTTCTTTCTTTATGTAAGATTCATTGTTCGACATCTTGAAAACAGAGGAATGGCCTTTAACTTGAGAATATGATTCATTTGTGGACATATTAAAATCTTCATTACTACTAGCTATCTAGTATCATTACCAAATAAAAATTAAAGTCTGTTAATAGTTACTATTTACCGCATCACTTGATACAGGAAGAGTTAGTGAGCATTCAATTTCAGTAGCTAATACATAATTGCCAGCTGAGCTTATAACA